TATAATATAATAATAAATAGTATAATAATATAATACAATCATAAATAATACAATAATATAATATAATAATAAATAATACAACCATATAATACAATAATAAATAATACAACCATATAATACAATAATATAATACAACCATAAATAATGTAATAATAATAATAAATAATACAACAATATAGTACAATCATAAATGATACAATAAAATAAGCAACAGTATAATACAATAATAAATAATACAATAATACGATAACATAATGAAATAGGAAGCTTCTACAAATATTCACATTCTTCTGCTCATTACACAATACATTTTTCTACATTTATAAACAAAAGTGTCCAACTTATACAAACATTTAAACCACAATTCCATAAAAATTATAACGAAAAACCAAATTTTCCAACAAATTCAATTTTTTCCTTATTCTTCTTTGTTCAACACTATGCATACAGGACTCTAAAAATATTCATATTGCTCCATAAAAATAACAAGCAGAAATTAATACAAATTATTAGAGACTTTGATTACGAAATACGTCCATCTATTATTCTTTAACGTCGAATGAAAAGCAAAGCTAACTTAATTCCCCGCAAACGCGTCGCTCGAAATGTCTACAAATCGTAAATAAAAAAGAAAAAATGTGAGACGCGTCGAAACGACGGCGTGGATAAAAACAATCGTTTCCAAAAAGCCGTGCAGCCGGTCGCGCCGATCGATCCGGTGCATCTCGGTTCGGTCGGCAGACACAGCCGGGATCGTAAATAGCGTCGAGTGAAAGGCAGAGAGACCGCGAAGAGCTCGTAGCCATCGTCACCGCTCTAAGCAGCGTGAATGAACCGTCCCGGGGACTAGGGCACAACATTCGCGGGTATCAAAGCGAGCGAGTAGGTGTGCAGACACGCCGAACGTAATAGTAACCTTGGCTTAGCGATGGTCACGTTATGGTAACGTCTATGACACGTTCCCACGTATATAGTCGCGTGTCACGTTCTCGCTTACGATCGGCTCACGTGACCGTCCCGCCGCGCCGCGCCGCGCCGGCGAAACGGGAGGGTTCGATAAATCAGCTCCGCCGGCCGGACTTTTCCTTTACCTTGATATCATTTCTTTTTTTAAATCGCGGCTACGCGTCGCCGTCCCGGACGATCCGCGAAAAATCCGTCGGGATTTCGCACGCGCGAAAAGTGTTTTCACTTGAAGAGAAAATTCAGTCTCCCCTTGGAAGTGTTTTCGGACAATTTTTAACGGGAAAAATGCGTTTCAAGTTGTTACGAATTTTAAAGAAAATTTATTCTACGGTCTGAAAGTTTTTGGATTATTTCTCACGGAGAAGACTGGATTTCAAGTTGTTACAAATTTTAAAGAAAATTTATTCCACCGTTTCAACGTGTTTGGACAATTTTTTTATGGAGAAACTGTATTTCAAGTTGGTCCAAATTTTAATCAAAATCTATTGTCCCCTCTGAAAGCTTTTGGAAAATTTTTAATCTGAAAACTGGATTTTACGTTGTCATAAATTGTGGACAAAATTTATTCTCTCCTCCGGTGAAAGCTTTTGGAAAATGTTTAATGCGAATAACTGGATTAAAGGTGTCCCAAATTTTAAACCAATTTTACGCTCCTCCTTTTCGAAAGCTTTTGGTAAATTTTTAACGTAGAAGTCTGGATTTCAAGTTGTCCCAAGTTGTAAAGAAAGTTTATTCCTCCGTGTGATATATTTCGGAAGATTTTTAACGTGAAAAACTGTATTTCAAGTTGTCCCAAATTGTAAACGAAATTTATCCCCCCCCCCTGATAGCTTTCGAAAAAATTTTAACAGAAAGTCTGGTTTTCAAGTCGTTCCGAATTTATTATTAATTTTTCTAAGATTTTAGAAAAAAAAATTCATTAAGCATGGTTAATATTATTCATGAAGTCATTTTGTTGTGAATAGTTATTTGTTTATTTAACCACAGCATTGGCTGAAGCGAGAAACAAAATTTTAAGATAGTTTGAAACGAATGAAATTTTGAAAATTAGGTTAGGAAGCTTCTGTTTTGGGTGTACACGGAAATGTTGGCACAATTTAGCAGAGAGAGAGAGAGAGAGAGAGAGAGAGAGAGAGAGAGAGAGGGAGAGAGATGCGATGACGCAAGAAATTTCGTAACGGTATGCTAATAATAGACGAGACAATTAACCGCGACTGTTTCTTATCTGTTCCAGATCGTACAAATCAACCGCCTTCTAACAAGCCACATTAACCTCAAGTGATTTCTATTTTCTTACGAATCGCGAAAGAAGTAATTAGTGTGTTTATATCGACGATAACGAAAAGAGAAGAGTAAACGACGAGGAAGAAACATACAAAACAAACAAACAAAACAAAACAAAACAAAAAAAAGCAAAAGATTATTCCAAGAGCTTAGGTTCGCGAGAGCAGACAAAGGTTTAAGAGCTATAGTATCTAACTAGTGTACAAAGTATATCTGAGGATAAGGGAAACCGTGGGAGGGGTAGAAAACGAAAAAAAAGAAAAAAAAACGAAAAAGAAAAATAACTAAAAGTCCGCCAGTGCCAAATCGAGAGAAAGAGAAAGAGCGAGATAAAGAGAGAGAGAGAGAGAGAGAGAGAGAGCGAGAGAGAGAGAGAGGGAAACAAGTAACAAAAGCAAGGAGAGAAAGAGAAACGGGATAAAAAGGATTGTTGTACATTAAGGAAATACCGTGGAGATAACGAGAGTGCGTCGGAAGACAGGAACAGAACAGAAACATCGCGCGAAACGACAAACCGTAAACCAAAGAATCTACCATTTCATTTTTTTTTCTACTAATCAACTCAGCAAAGTAACGATACTCAACTAACTCAGTGGACAAGGAGCGAGATTAAATTAAGATCCCGAGAGCAAACACAGCAAGCAAAAGCAAGCAAGCAGAGCCAGCCGAGAGGAACCGGTGTTTTCTAAGGGGCACAACGTCCCGCCACAACGTGATCAAAGGGGTACAAGTTAGGGTCTTCGAACGATCCATCACTTTTCTTTCGAGAGGACTGACCAAAACCAGTCCCCGCCCATCCGGAGCATCAGCCCAGCGTAACCAGTGTGAAAGAGAGAGAAAAAGAGAGAGAGAAAGAGAGAAAGAGAGAAAGAGAGAGGGGACTCGCGCGTGATTACTCCCAGAGAAACCGATCTACTTCAGTTCGTAGCCTAAACCTGTTGAGTACAAACGACAGAAATAGAATTATAGAGAAATTGAGCGAGTGAGCGAGAGAGCGAGAGAGAGAGAGAGAGAGAAAGAGAGAGAGAGAGAGAGAGCGAGAGAGTCGAACAAAGCGAGTACGTGAGCGAACGAGCGAAAGGGACGAGTGAACGAGATCATAATAGAAGAGCTAGAAGGGGCGGAGCAGATAGACTCAGGAAAGCGACTTCTCCGGGGGACCCCAGACTTCAGAGGGTTTCAGGACGCCAGGGGATCCAGAAACTCGGAGGATTCACCTTAGAAGATCCAAGGTAATCAGGGGACTCGGGACATCGACAGACACCAGGCTTCGGGAGAGCCAAGGCATAGAGGGTCCAAGACCTCCGGTGATCCAAGGACACAAGGCTCCAGAAGACACGAGACTTTGGGGTGCTCAAGACCCCAAAGGACCTGATACTCTAAGAAGCTCAAGACCTCGGAGGATCCAAGACACTAGAGGAGGGGATCCAAGACCCCAAAGGGCTCTTCCACGCGACTCAGGGCTTTAGGAAGCCCAAGACCCCGTAGGACCAAGGATTTTTGAGGATCGGAGGCTTCAGAGGACCCGGGACTTCGAGAGGACCAAGACATCAGGGTGCGCCCAGTGTCCGGAGTAGCAAGGCATCAGGGGGCGCAGTGCACGGAAGACGGAAAACATCAGATGCCCCAGAGTCCGGAGGCTGCTAGCGGCGAGACGTTAGTGAATTAGCGTGTTGCTCTCGACCTAGCGTCGAAGAGCGTCTCGGGTTGGTTGCTTAGGGGTGGCCGAGTGATCCGGTGCAACGAGTATCGTGTCGCAAGGTAGCTGGACCTCCTGCTCGCAGGGGGCACTCGTCGCGATGACGTGGCGGGGAAGATGAGCGCCGAGGTCACGAAGGAGGTCGTCGCCTCCGAGAGGGTACCAGGCAGCCCTCCGGCGGCGGTAGCGACCTCGCCAGGTGGCTCGGTCGGGCCAGGTGATCCGGCGCGTCACCTGCCGCCGTTCAGCAGCTTCGCCGGGGACAACGCGATGGACAGCTCGACGACATTGACTACCCTTCACCCGCAAGACGTGGGGCTAGGTCTGACGTCCTCATGGGACTACTACGAGGGCTTGACCGGCCGGTTGATCGACTCGCGGGGCGAGGTGGTGCTCGCCAGCCAGTACCGGCCGTGGGAGTCGAAGAACGCGGTCGGGGGCGGCGGCCCGCCCGGCGAAGGCTTGCCGAGCTTCGCGAGCCAATTCACCGCTCCGAGCGAAGCGGAGCCCCAATTAACGGCGCTCACGCCATTGTCGCCCGCCTCGATATCGCACTCTCCACCTGTCACGTCCGCGGTCGGCCTGCCGAGCTTCCATACACTTGGCACACCGCTGCCCGCGCCGCATCCTCACAGAGGCGCCGTCGGCTATCCGCTGGTCCCGGCCCCGGTCCAGGCCAGAGAGGTGCCGGCCCTCCAGCAACAGCTACTCGATGAAAGGCACATTCAACTGCTGGGATCCAGCCCGGTCCAGGCATTCCCGCCGCCGCCGCCGGGGCATCCTCATCACACCGTGCTCACCGTCGTCAAGCCCGACTACCCGCAGCTGCACCACGCCAACTTCCAGAACCCGATGTCCACGGTCCTCGACTCCTCGCCCACCTCCAGGCCAATCGGCATCGATGGCCGGAAGAAGGAGCGCAGAAAAATACGCGCCGGCTCCATGGAGTCCGAGGACAGCGCCGGGGCCGGCAACGTAGAGAGCTCCGGGCAAGTGGCCGCGGTCTCCTCCACCGCGAACAGGGGGCCTCATCACATGGGCGGCGGCATGACCGACGCCGACGGCGACGGCGGCCTCAGCGACAAGCCCGCCAAGAAGAAACGGAAACGGTGCGGAGAGTGCATTGGCTGCCAGCGGAAGGACAACTGCGGGGACTGCGCGCCCTGCAGGAACGACAAGAGCCATCAGATCTGCAAGATGAGGCGCTGCGAGAAACTCACCGAGAAAAAGGTTAGTGAACAGATTTTCTAGGTCCTACTAGACGGCCAGCTCGTTTCATGTAGGATCCTATATGGGACTTTTGATCAGGCCCAGTTCGTGGAACGGGTTTCGTGTCTTGTTCGGACACTTCTGATACCGCTGATCAGGATCCGCTGTCTAGACATCATTGTACTGGATTGAGAACATCTGCTTTGCTATTGTTGAACGCTTCGTCACTCGGCTGACATTGTCGTCGGTGACTCCATTTTTAGAGTCCAATTTCTGATGGTCTTTCGGGTATGCCGTGACCTCGGTGTCACAGGGGTTTTGGGAAAAATCATTGCACCTGTTAAGGGTTGAATTGTTTGGCTATGTCCGACAAGCAAAATTACAAAAACATTGATCGAAAATGGGGCGATATTTGCCTGAAGAGGATCAGGGGAGGGGATGAATTTTTGCTCAGTTTTTGTGGGTGACTCCGGGGAGGGTTGTTCCTAAATTTTGGCCGCAATTAAAATGATTTGCAATGCTAGAAAAATAATGCAAACTTTGCTTACTAAACTTGGAATTTGATTTCCGTCTTGAATGATCTTGGTTCGCTTGAAAATAATGCGAAAGTATTTCGAAATTCCCGAAATGTTTCCGCCGTTTCTCACTCGATCCGCTATTTTCTGCCCCAAATGCATAAAATCCGGGGTCCATAACCGAACGGCTCGACGCGCGGAGAAACAAAAGAGAGGCCGGCCGTTTCCTGTTGCGCCACAACGAGCCACCCCCGCGCAGCCCCGTAACCGGAACAATTTGTAAAAACGTGTCGATTTGGGGTGCGAGGGGCGGCCGTGGGGTCGTGCGGTCGTGAAACGAGAACGAAAATGAATTCGCCACGCGACAAGGTGGGCTCGCTCGAAATTCGTGAAAATCCAGGTGCACCGGTGTGGTGCGCGCGCTAGGGAAAGGGTGTGAACCCTGTAGGGTAGGATAAACACCGGCATTGCCGTCGTTACAGAGCGCCGCGTGTGTGAAATTATATATCTATATATATGTGTATATATGTAGAAAGAGAAAGAGAGTGAGAGAGAGAGAGAGAGAGAGAGAGAGAGAAAGAGAGAAAGAGAGAGAGTCTGAACTTGGCCCCGATGCCTGAATGTGCCGAGAATCCCAGAGGGAAATACAGAAATATAGATAACCGAGGTGGTTTATTATTGTAGCGACATTGAATAGGGGGTTGGTGGGTTGACTGGCTCGTTGGCTCTCTGGCTGGCTGGATGTTTGGCTGCTCGCTCGCTTCCAGCGACGGCTGCGAACCGTGCTCGAGCAATTCATTCTTCAAACTTAGAAATCTTTTTGGTCCAACTTTTTTTTTGGTAGACTTTAACACCGTCGATTAGCTTGTTCTTGAAATACAGTGGCGCGAATAATCGTAGACTCGAAGTAACTTTTACATTTTGTTAACATTATTGTTAACATCACACACAAATTCACGTTTGTATATTTTTTATTGCTGTACACATTTTCTTATTGATATTAGAAATTAAATTAATATTAGAAAATTAATATTAACATTAAAATTAACATTAGAGAAACGTATTTTCTTATTAAGATACGAAGTTCAAATAGACATAATTGTTTTGATTTGTTTAAATATCAGAGAAAGTGTAACAGTTACTTTCAGGTTATGTGGTTATGTGGTCTCCTTCGGTTGAGGCATCCCGTATATTTAACAAAACTTAAACTATCATATGTGCATATTTTAAACACTTCTTGTAGAATGAATTTTTACGATGATTCTTATTACTTGTTAACAACAAGACCACGTGAATAACAACATTTTTTCGCTTTATATTTAAATCTTAACCTCTTACCTGAAAAAGACGTGTATACACGTCATAAGGAAATGGCAATTATACATCTTACAACAAAAATGCTTCTCCTACGATAAAATGCTTGTGAAACATGTTCATTAATTTCGCACATTTTAGAATGATTCTAGAACAACTTGCCGAAAGAAACTGTACCCAGCGTGATCGATAACAAAAAACGCATACAAAATAGATTTACGCAGTTAAGTGGTTAATTAACATATGATTAAACGTGACTTAACCTAACTTATTCTTATAACGGATCGAGACCCAACTTCACGGTTATATCTTTGATCATGCTGTATTTTTTATCATACTATATTTATTTTTGATCGTATTTTACAATCGTACTCTCTCCCCTGCACATAACGTCGAAACCGCTAGATGGCAGTCTAAATACAAATGTATTCCAACGATTTTAATTCACGCGACCATAAAAGTCGAGCTCATTGCAAACATTCCAACCAGACCAGTCACATACAGTGGTCGAAGCTAATAATATATTTTGGTTCATTTATAAAATCTGATTTATTACAGTTCACGATTTACAAAAACTGATTTATTACAGTTTGATACATTATTCAGTACATTGTGAAATTATCAAGTACACTATTACATCATTGATTACATTATTACATTATTAAGTAGATTATTACATTATTGAGAACATTATTACATTATTAAGTACACTATTACATTATTAAGTACATTATTACATTATTGAGTATATTAATAAATTATTAAGTACTATTACATGATTGGGCACATTATTACATCATTAAGTAGCAATCCAATAATTTCATTTAAACATTTCGAACAGAACGTTGCACAGACAATCGCAGTAAACAGAACGGTTTCCAGCGATTTCCGACAAGTCGCGAAGCACGCGGCAGTGACCGGCGAAAAAAAAACGAACAAAGAAGCATGAAAAGTCATTAGCCTCTATTGCGGTTATTAGTCGCGATCGGGCACGATCGAGAAGCCGGGAGCGTTGATAACAGCAGCGTAGCTCGTTTCGAAAACTCGAGGCACGAGAGGTCATTGTACCCCGACGCGAGTCAATTTAATGGCAAAGTCGCGAGGCTGCGGTCGAGTAGTGCATCGGTGTCGCGCGCGTGTGCGTCCATGTACGTCGGCGTGCCGCTGTGTTGGACAAAACAGCCGCCGCTGCCGCGACGCGGCTCTCGCAAGCAGCTCCGCTTATCGTAGGGCAAGTTCAAGGCTCGTCGCGGGTCATAATAATCGCGTATCGAACTCCGGCCCGTTCGGAAACAAACGTGTTGTTTGCCGGCGATACAACCCAACACCTCTCTCCCCCCACCCACGCGCCGCGATAAACCCCCACCCGTCGATCGCCCCCTCCTCCGCGGCGCCGACAATTAAGCATCGATTCGCTCCGCGGTTCTGCTCTCCTCGCGAATCCATTGTTTTATCGCGGCGTTACTCTCCTCGAGCTGAAGACTCGAATTCCGCCGGAACAATGGAAATAGACTGTCGACGATGCCTTTTCGACCGTTCGCAACTTTGTTTAGACATTTCTTCAAAAAGCAAATCTATTTGGATTAATGATGCAGCGTTGGTTGACTTGGTGTTCGATTCGGGTGGCAGCACTGAATGAAATAAATTAGGTTGGGTACTGTATCGTTCCATTGATAAACGTGTAAATCGTATTGGTTTGTACTTGCGAAAAGTTCAATGCAACCTTCGTTGTTCTTGCGACACGGTTTAGTCCGTTTTTAGTGCTGATATAACAATTGTGCTGATTAAATTTAATCGGCAGAAAAATTGAACGATCAAACGACTGTAAAGTAAAATCGTCGACTATCCTAACCTAAATGTTCTTTTGTTAATTCGACACGGCTCGTACGAAAATAGCGCAATCTAAAAGAAAATTGTAATAACAAAGATAGACAATTATAAATAGCTTAATAAAAGCATAAATTCAATTTAAAAAAAAAAATGTGAATCAAACTTAATAAAGATATGAATTAAACTTAATGAAAATATAAATTGAACGTAATAAAAAGTACAAATTGAACGAAATTAAAATACAGATTAAAGTTAATAAAATGATGACCGGAACTTAATGAAAATGCAGATTAAATTTGATAAAAATATCGATGGAATTAGGGGGTTGAAATCGTCGAGTGGAAAGACGCGCTCGGGTTGTACGTTGCTTCTTGGCTTTATCGTGCCACTTTCCGAGCTGACCTTAAGTGAGTCACTGACAGCTATTATCGTGACTTTCACGGACAGTCGTGCGTAGGCAGACCGCATCTCGTGATGAGCCGCGATTAAACGAGAAAATTGTTGTTCCGCTCGATGATAGCCTGTCGACTGAAAATAATATGCGATTCCCCGTGGAAGTCGATCGGCCGGCCGGCCGCGACCCTACCACGGGGTATCGGCTCACCTTAACCATTATGATCCTGACGGACGATTATGTTAAACCCGTCTCCTTTTTACGCCTTATTAAAACGGAGATGTGACGGGGCCCACGGCCTCGGGCGAGATGTAATTGCACCGGTATTGCAACGGCGACGCCGCAGCCGGACGGTGAACATGGTGTTTATTTTTTCCGTCGAGCGTGTAATACACGACGCTAAGTGATCCCTGAACCCGAAAAATAAAGGACCCCGAGGAAATTGTGACATTCCGACGGAAAGCGAAAGTTACCGGTCCCTTGTTAAGCGGAACATGGGACGTCAATTATTTACAAAAATACAGAACGTCGATTTGGAGAAGTCTCCCGAAGCAATTTGATTTTTATGAAATTTTTATGTATCGTAAAGCTTGACATTTCGAACAATTTTTCCTTTACGAGAGAGAAATCTCGATCTCCTTTTGTATCCGAGTTATTCGCGAAAAATTGTAGACATAATCCTGATCTAACCTATATCTAAACTATATTTAATCTGTATACCTAACCTAGATATAACCTCGATTTTACTTGACATCATTACGAAATGCCATGCCAGTCTTCTCTGTAACGATCAAGGCATTTAAAAAATTGTTCTGGAAAATCATAAAGTCAATGGATTAAGTAATAAATTATAAATAATTAAAAACACAGAAGAATTTGATCTAATATAATCTATATAGAACTTACGCTCTGTTGATTAAGAAATACATATGTTTTCTTTAGTTTTCTTAGTTTAGTGTATAGTTGCA